TTACAGCGCACACACTGGCCCAGCTGACCAATCACAACACACACTGGCCCAGCTGACCAATTACAGCACACACACTGGCCCAGCTGACCAATCACAACACACACTGGCCCAGCTAACCAATCACAGCACACACTCGCCCAGCTAACCAATCACAGCACACACTGGCCCAGCTGACCAATCACAACACACACTGGCCCAGCTAACCAATCACAGCACATTTCATATTTCAGAAGGCGGGCCTTCATTTGATACAGGAACTATTGAGCCGTTCATGCCAGACTGGGGAGAGAGGTGTTGTAATAATGTAAAATATGTACAAAATAATGTATTTTTCGAACAACCTAGAATGAGAGCCTGTTCTAGTACACCCCAAAACAAAATTAAGACTTTGTAAAAGAGCATAATAGGACCCCTTTGAGCAAAATGCATTCTCTACAGTTTATTTTTCTAGCTGACTAATGAATTTATGGTCACCGAATATGTTTTTTTTTCTGAGGTGAGGTAAATGTGACGTTAGGTGGCATATTGTTTACAAGTCGTTATATTGACATCTTTGCGAGGCTGAAACACTGATTGAGCGATTACATGAGACAGGATGTGGATTGTAAAGTTGTACTCTTTCTTTTAACTGACCTTCGGATGTTTAGTCATGTTTATTTTGTGCTGAAACTGGTATTAATGTGGAGGAGATGATCAGTTCACGTGTGCCTCGCGCTGCTGCGTCTGTCGAACTGAGGCGCTACAGCGATCTGTCACTCCACATTAAACAGCACCAAAATGGCATTTATTGTTTAAATACTGCAATACAATGGACAGAATTTGAAATATGAGACTTTGTTTCATATGAAAAGTACAAAAAGCACAATGCTTATTGCGATTTATTGGATGGGAAGTACCCTTCAATGTTCTGTCCATTATCTGAAAACAGGCTAGACTAATCGATTCTCAGAATTTAAAGGGATAGTTCACCCAAAAATGAAAATTTTATGTTTATCTGCTTACCCCCAGGGCATCCAAGCTGTAGGTGACTTTGTTTCTTCAGTAGAACACAAATGATGATTTTTAACTCTATATGACTGATAGACTGCAAAAATCTTCGTTTGTGTTCTACTGAAGAAACAAAGTCACCTACATCTTGGATGCCCTGGGGGTAAGCAGATAAACATCAAATTTTCATTTTTGGGAGAACTATCCCTTTAAGAATGGACATCGTTCCGTAAAAATGAGAATCGATTAATATCGAGAAATCGATATTTTTTACCCAGCCCTATTATTTATATTTGTAAAAATTGCACTTTGTAATAAGCAAATGCACAGCAACATGCCAACCACTCAAACACCTAAGCAACGCTCTAGAAACCACCCACAAAGCCATAGTCAACGCATAGTAACATCTTAGCCAACCAAAACACTCTAGCAGCTGAATAAAATAAAACCAATAAAAATATCCGTTACAGACAAACATCCCCACAGTGTCTCTCTGTACTTGTGATGCTCACAAATTAGAAATGCATTAAAGCAGACACAGAGGAGAGAAAGACAGAGCAAATTGTTGCTGGTGCATTGTTCGTTAGTTTCTCATTTTCAGTGCAGTAGTTATGGATCCTGGAGGGCTGTGCTGGACTGCTGGGGCACGCAGCAGGTATGAGCTCCATTCTCACAGAGGGGCGCCACGGCACTTCCGTAGTTTGGGCAGATTTATGTTATATTTAGCAATGCAGGAAGTAGAACGACTCACTGGTGCCTTACATCCACACACACACACTCACAGAAAAGAAAGAGACTCTAGTGGATATTATATACCTAAAGAGTAACACTGCCACATCTTTATAAATACAGTGGCTCCAAAATTGTTTGGAATGTCATTGAATTAGATACTAAATATTAATGCAAGTGGCATCAAATGCTGCAGGAGATTTCTCCCATAGTGAAAAAGAAGTAGACTTTAGCATACTTTTAAAAAGAGCACTTATTACAGAAATAATATACTTCAAAAGAATAATCCGAATTACATGATGGACACTTAACTGCAGGCATGTTCATTGAAAATAAATTAAACCGTATTATAGTTTAAATTTATATTAAATACGAACAGTGGAACTTCAGAGTGTTTTTGACCCACTTAAGTAGGACTTAAGTACATCTTTATATGTAATTTCATAATTACTTCTGTTGTCTTGAAATATAGTTGAAGTGCAGAATGTGCTGACAAAATTCAGCAAAAAAAACTAAAATATACCTTAATGACATTTCTATTAAAATGTTGTGTATTAATGTTAAATACACTTGTAATAAATGAAGTTGCAATTTAGTACATTTAAAGTATATTAACTTTAGTATACTGAATAACAAACTACAGTTAAAATTGAACTTTGCATGTGCTTTATTGTTTAAAGCATAACAAAATATCATTTGAAAATAAAATGTACGTTAAAGTAAAACTTTCAATTTGACATTATGTACTTAAGTGTGTTAAGAAATGACAGTCATGAAAGTGTATATTATATTATCTGCAGTTTAGTTTTGATTTTTTAAATATACTTTTGGGATTTGAAGCACACAAGTGAACATTCAATGCAATTAAGCATACTTCTTTTCCACGAGGGTCTTCACTAACTTCCCTTCCTTGATTTTGTCCAGTATATTTTAATCAGCTGGTGTGTTTTTTTTGTAGTGGATGTATGAAGTCAGTTTTCCTCAAGTTACACTAGCAGGTAGTAGGAACCACAGGTGTCAAGAATCACATTAAATATGCAGATGATCAAATAACAGTAATTACAATAGTATTTGTCTGCATTTTAAACAATATTTGTTTCCTAATTGCTGTATAAGTTCAAATCTAACAATGTTCTAACGGAGATACATTTTCCTTGAAGTCTGATTGTCTTATCTTTCTTTAAAATAAACGGCATTTGCTTTGATATTTTGTATCTAATGCGATGATATGCATGCATTTTTAAGTATGCCTTAAGCGTCTTATATGCTCTCTGCACTCTCTTGTACAGTATTTCCTCATTGAATTATGAGCCAATAGGATGACAGCAGCTTTCCTCCAATCATATCTCAGCACATGGTCTCTGCACTGGAACAGAAAGTAAAAGTGGCAGAATAATTGGGATTTTTCTCATCCAGCTGGGAGTGAAGGCCTGTGTGCTCATACTAGGGGTTGCACAGACTAGCCCAACGTCAGTTTTGCTGTGGAAAAATGTCAAAGCTTAATTTCTATTATATTTCGTTATTATTATTATTATTTTAAGGCAATCCTAGTCATATTTACGTCTTTTTGTGGGTTTTTACAAATATTTAACCAATGAACAGCATTCAAAAGAGCTTGTGACTAAACCTAGTAACGCTATCAGATCCTTCAGCGAAACCTCATAACCTCATAACATTCAGAGATAAGTGCCATGCAGTCTGGAGACAGATCTCTGCTTGTTCACAGTGCAAAGGTACATGAAGAACTGATGTTTGAATAAGTACAGCGTTTTCTTTACCCCAGAAACACTGTCTATAAATGCTAATGTTTTTGTGAGTTTAAAGAGCAGAGAAGAGTCTTAGCATTTGCAGCCTAGGTGTAGGCCTAGCTAATATCCTGTTTTATATTGCCTATCCTGTGCATAGCACTTCATATTTTATATCACGAGATTTTGGCCAAATGTATTCAACAACAAAAAACTGAGCGCCCATTTAGCTACAATAAACTTTATAACCTGTAAGTTGATTTAAATGTAATGCAATGCACTCACTGCCTCAGATGCAGCCGTTTTAATGACGGACAATACACAGGTCTCTGGCATTCGCTGGTCAAAAACCTCGTAACTCCATTTGAGCTTGATTTTCATAAAATGTTAAAGGTGGGGTAAGTGATTTCTGGAAGCTAATGTTGACATTTGAAATCACCAAAACAAACACACCCCTACCCCAAAAGGGTCTCGCCCCTATTTTGATAGCTCCGCCCCACACATACGTACGCAACCCAGGCAACGATTAGTTCTGTGAAACAAAGCAAAACCAATGTTACACCGTGTCTACACCAGACGCGAGTGGCGCGGCGCAACAAAATACTATAGAACTCATTATAATCAATGATGCTGTCTACACCATAGATATATATATATATATATATTTATATATACATAAATCCCAGACAGAAAGAAATGATTTTCAGTGGTCGCTTTGTAGCGTCCAGTGTACTAGACAGACTTTAGCTGTTGCGGCGCAGACACGGTGTTACTCACCTATCGAGAAGAAACAAAGCAAGCTCGGCGTCCGATCGCAGGCCTTCCGCTCCTTGAGTTCTCTCCAGCGCTGGAAAACTGATCTGATATTTACACTGGTCCTACTTCTTGCCTTATTGCCTTAAGCCTTCTTTTGTGCTGCAGACGTTTTCCTCTTTTGTTTTTTATCCGCCATCTCTATCTTTCTGTCGCTCGGCTCGGCTCGCTAATGTCCGTCCCGTGCACTGAACACTCTCTCCTCCACATCATGAGTAGACACGCCCCTTACTGCTGATTGGCTACAAGTTTGTTTTGCTATTCGGCCCGAATCTGTTTTCTAAAGCGTTTTTGAAAAATCACTTACCCCACCTATAATATTATAATGGCACATGCAAATGTCTGATCATATATAAAGCCACAATACCAACACTGACGACGCAGTGTTTAATTATCAAAAAAAAAAAAAAGGAAATGTTTACATTCCCTGCTGAAAAAACCCCCTGCTAAAACCAGCCAACCATCACAGCTGGTCAGCAGGCTGGTTTTAGAGGGGTTTTGGCCGGTTCTTTAGCTGGTGAGGCTGGGAGACCAACTAAAACCAGCTACTTCCTGCTTAAACCAGCTAAGACCAGCCAACCAGCTTAGGCTGGTTTTAGCTGTTTTTTTTCAGCAGGGTTTCCTGAGAATGGTAGTGGTCTTGGACATACAAGGTTTCTGCCCGATAGCAACGATATGTAAATTTGTTGTTTTATCATCACCAACAACATAAAGCTACCTATGACTTTGCTCAAATTTCACATTAAATATGAGTACTACTTTTAATATAATGTCCAGTTTTAATATAATATCTAGTTTTAATATGCCATTTGAAGCAATGTTTGTGCGAATTTGCTATATTTCAGTGCCTAGTGGTGTGCCTGGGATTTTTTTTTTCCTGATCAAAGCTGTGCCGTGGCTACAAAAAGGTTGGGAAACACTGCACTAGTCGATTAGTCGACAAATGCTCTGCCGTGATGCTTTAAGCTTGACGTCGACTAATCACGGGTCCTATAGAGGGCGCAACAGGACAACTTTGAACTCCACATTTACGCTCAGTTTCCACACAGTTAAAATGACAAATAAATGCATACTCCGAAAGCGCTCCACAAGACACATGTGATTACACCACCTGGATGCTCGAAACCGAACGGTAGAATGCACGTTTTAAACAGCTTATTGTACAGGTAAGTTCATCGCTGCATTGTAATTCAGCAGCGTGGAAATGTACGTCAACACTGTTCTGTGATTTCTCAGTAATATAGCTTAGAAACTGAACGGTTCTTGCATATATTTCTTAGTATGCATTCATATAAATCTTTACTTTGCTACTTTATCTGGATCTGATTCAGAACGAGCAGAAATCTGTGAGAAATATAAGGACCCTAAGACAAAAGAACTGATAAATGGGCTGTTATAGGAGCAGTAGCACTGTGGGCAGTACTTTATATATCATAGGCCACAGCTGTGCATGAGGTGTTAAAGTCTCAGCTCAAGGTTCAGGCTTATTTGTTCATCAGTGACGCCATCAGCGACTAATCGACTCGACTACTAAATATCTACTTTAAAAACATCTGAACTCGTTCAACCCCTAGTTCATACAGCTCTCCACACAATGCTGCATGCAGCAGAATGATTTCAATACACACAATTCATTAACTAAAACTCATCTTTACTTTACTGAAACTATACAAAGTGGTGTAACAAGGCTATTCCCCTTTCTTACGAGTCATAAACGCATTATTACATTATAATTACCATGTAAAAACATGCTGAAGAACCTTGAAAACATGAATATCAAAGGGCCATCTGATACCATCACTGCACATGCTACCATTGTATTTTTGTAAATGATACAACAGACTATAACTGTTGCAAACACTAAAAGTTATATGAACAACCATATGAACTCTTTTTTATATTATAGCAAAATCTGAAGTAGGATACACCTGGCTCTTAAACCACACGTGCTTTCATTTATAAGATTGTGAGGCTTTAGAAAAGCATGCTTACAACTGTAGCATTGTTCCTTATTAAAAATAAGTGATCATTTCCGGAGTATTTCATCAGAAGCTATCCCTGTGATGGTCCAGGAACAGGTCCAGACAGACCCCTACAGATTCCTGATCCACATCACACTGTCATCCCAGCACCACACACACACACACACACACACACACACACACACACACACACACACACACGGTGTGAATAGTGTAACATCATGACACACACACACGTACCCGCACTCCTCTTCTGTCAGTCTTCCCGGGAATGATGGACAACGGTCAAGAAGATCTTGCTTCAACTTGTGACTCGGGCTGATATTTCCAGTGTCCGGTCACTCCGGTGACTTCACGTGTAACAACTTCTTCCTGATCAGAGCCGCCGACATCAGCCCTGGGCGCAGTGACGCATGCAGCAGAACCGGGGAGAAACAGCGACACCCAGCGGACACAACACAACACAACAAACACACCACACCACAACACAACACAACACACCACACCACAACACAACACACCACACCACAACACAACACACCACAACACACCACACCACACCACAGCACAACACAACACAACACAACACAGCACAACAAACACACCACAACACAACACAACACACCACACTACAGCACACCACAACACAACAAACACACCACAACACACCACACTACAGCACACCACAACACACCACAACACACCACACCACAGCACAACATAACACAACACAACACAGCACAGCACAGCACAGCACAGCACAGCACAGCACAGCACAGCACAGCACAGCACAGCACAGCACAGCACAGCACAGCACAGCACAGCACAGCACAGCACAGCACAGCACAGCACAGCACAGCACAGCACAGCACAGCACAGCACAGCACAGCACAGCACAGCACAGCACAGCACAGCACAGCACAGCACAGCACAGCACAGCACAGCACAGCACAGCACAGCACAGCACAGCACAGCACAGCACAGCACAGCACAGCACAGCACAGCACAGCACAGCACAGCACAGCACAGCACAGCACAGCACAGCACAGCACAGCACAGCACAGCACAGCACAGCACAGCACAGCACAGCACAGCACAGCACAGCACAGCACAGCACAGCACAGCACAGCACAGCACAGCACAGCACAGCACAGCACAGCACAGCACAGCACAGCACAGCACAGCACAGCACAGCACAGCACAGCACAGCACAGCACAGCACAGCACAGCACAGCACAGCACAGCACAGCACAGCACAGCACAGCACAGCACAGCACAGCACAGCACAGCACAGCACAGCACAGCACAGCACAGCACAGCACAGCACAGCACAGCACAGCACAGCACAGCACAGCACAGCACAGCACAGCACAGCACAGCACAGCACAGCACAGCACAGCACAGCACAGCACAGCACAGCACAGCACAGCACAGCACAGCACAGCACAGCACAGCACAGCACAGCACAGCACAGCACAGCACAGCACAGCACAGCACAGCACAGCACAGCACAGCACAGCACAGCACAGCACAGCACAGCACAGCACAGCACAGCACAGCACAGCACAGCACAGCACAGCACAGCACAGCACAGCACAGCACAGCACAGCACAGCACAGCACAGCACAGCACAGCACAGCACAGCACAGCACAGCACAGCACAGCACAGCACAGCACAGCACAGCACAGCACAGCACAGCACAGCACAGCACAGCACAGCACAGCACAGCACAGCACAGCACAGCACAGCACAGCACAGCACAGCACAGCACAGCACAGCACAGCACAGCACAGCACAGCACAGCACAGCACAGCACAGCACAGCACAGCACAGCACAGCACAGCACAGCACAGCACAGCACAGCACAGCACAGCACAGCACAGCACAGCACAGCACAGCACAGCACAGCACAGCACAGCACAGCACAGCACAGCACAGCACAGCACAGCACAGCACAGCACAGCACAGCACAGCACAGCACAGCACAGCACAGCACAGCACAGCACAGCACAGCACAGCACAGCACAGCACAACACACCACAACACACCGCACCACAACGCACCACACCACAGCACAGCACACCACACCACAACACACCACACCACACCACACCACAGCACAGCACACCACACCACACCACAGCACACCACACCACACCACAACACACCACACCACAACACACCACACCACACCACACCACAACACACCACACCACAACACACCACACGACACCACAACACACCACAGCACCACACAACAAAACACAACAAACCAAACCACAACACACCACACAACACAACACAACACAACACAACACACCACAGCACAGCACAGCACACCACAGCACACCACACCACACCACAGCACAGCACAGCACACCACACCACAACACAGCACAACACACCACACCACAGCACAGCACAGCACAACACAACACACCACAACACACCACACCACAGCACAACACAGCACAGCACAGCACAACACAACACACCACACCACAGCACAACACAACACAACACACCACACCACACCACAGCACAACACAACACAACACACCTGCGCACAAGAGACTGTAAAGAGTGATCAGTACAGATGAATTCTGCACACCATTTATTAAAAAGGATGTGATTTAAGAACAACTTTTTATAATATAATAAATAACCTTTTAAAACAGATTTATTATGGTCACTGGTTTTAAAATGACACATAAAATATTAATTATATGTAATATTGAATTATACATATTAATATGATTTATAAATATGTATTCATTTGAATAAAATTAAAATAAACCCTATTTTTAAATATGTATTTACAATCATTAAAGTGATTTATTATAACATATAATCATATATTACAATCAGTTTGAATCTATTATATATGAAAATGTGATCAAGACACGTGATTAATACATGATCATCAATTTTATAATATATATTCTGAGCATGTGATAACAGGTTTTGTGACCTGCTTACTAAAGAAAACCTCTGCTTAAGCTGTAAGCTAAATGAACTGATAGCAATACATAATTATGAATTTAAAAAAAGACGTGAACATGTCTGTAACGTGTCGTCTTATGAGTTTTATTTACACAATACACACAGCGGTATAAAGCTTGCAGACAAGCCACCAGGCTTTTGAAATGTGCTCATATTTCATCATTTAGTTTTTTTTTTCTTCAAGCTTAAGATTATATAAACATCTTAATAAAATTGACATCCTGTCCAAAACTTCCATAAATCATAATTAAAATTTTTTTAAAAATGTAGAAATGAAATTCGAAATGCCTTGAGATGATTGATATACACTATCCCTCAAAAGTTTGGGGTTGGTAATATTTTTTGAAATGTTTTTGTAAGTGCTCTCTTATGCTCTCCAAGGCTGCATTTATTTGATCAAAAACCCAGTATAAACATATTATAGCATAATATACATAATATTATTCACATGATCCTTCTATTATCATTCTAATATGCTGATTTGCTGCTAATATATATATAATAAGAATATTTATTATTATTATCAATGTTGATAATATTTTGCGGAAACTGTGATATATATTTTTTTAGGATTATTTGATGAATAGAAAGTTAAAAAAGCATCATTTATTTGAAATAGAAATTTATTGCAATATTATAAATGTCTTTACTGTCACTTTTGATCAATTTAATTGCATCATTGTTGAGTATTAATTTCTTTAAAAAAAATTAAATAAATAAATAGTACTGACCCCAAATTTGTTTAACTGTACTTTTAAGATCACCATAAACTCAACACGCTTCGGATGATAAAATAAAGAGTCTCCAAAAGCTCCCGCAGGACAAACTTCAATAAGCTCATGATTACAAATTCTAAAACACCATGTAAGGTGGCCAACTGCTGCAAACAAACTCTGAAAGAGAGGGGAACATCTGATCCGTGGCAGAATATAGGCAAGGTCATAAACAGAGGTCTGCACATCCACAGCCGTACACTGAAATGAAGCCACGCTTTCACACAAGCAGCCAAAGAAAGGCAAAGCCCTTGTGTATGCATCTGCTGCAGCGGAGCGGAGGAAGGCTTCTGTTCATGTGCAGCTAGAGCTTATTGACTGGCAGAGGTGAAGCAGCACTGAGGGCCGGGGATCAGGTCCGGCGCGGCTCCAGTCTGTGGGACAGCTGGGACAGGGTACGCTGGTTGTCAATCACGCTAATGTGACGCACATAGCTCCGCACATCCTGATGGCTTTTACCAGTCGCCTGCGGTGCTTCTTGATCTAAAGTGATGAAATAGAGAGCAATGCACTGAGTTTTGCTGAATCAGATGAACTTAGACATGATTCTGATGTTAATTCTACTGTTGTCTTACTGAATGGCTGACTCCGGCAGTATCTCATGATTCTGACTGTGTTTGCAATCATTCTCTGGAAAACACACAGGAAACATTGAACAAGTCTAATTTAACACCGTCTCAGAGATGGTGAGAAAGATGCCTCGCAAACGTACCATTTTCTCAAAGTTCACCAATCTGTCAGTAAACGTCTTGTTACCTTCATGTGTGAAAGTCATGTCTGAAATGCAAAGATAAACATTAGACATTTAAGCACTAATAATCTTTTTTGTATCGTTAAACTAAACAGTTCTTCACAACATGTTGTGCTTTCCATTAAATTGACGCTTAATGTGCTGCGTCTGTGAATTATGTGTTAAGAAATATCCAAATGTACAGTATGGTAAAAGTATAGGAGTGCTATTTAATGCATTGTGTTTAATTTTGTTGCATACTTGTATGACATTTTTAATAACATAATAGTAATAACTGTTATGATGCTGATGAATCATCATTGTTGTCTTAAACGAAGATATATATTTAATTAGACGCAATATTTATTATATATAATATTTGATTAGATATCAGAATATTATTTATAAACATTTATTTGAATAATTATTCAAATAAACCTTACAAAATAAAAGTACAAATAATGCAGTCATTATAGCATTATTTGAAAATAAACTAACGTTTTGACCATAGCTGAAATTTAACAATAAATTAATAAAACTTGTTTTTATTAATGGATGCATTTATGAAAAAATGAATAAAAAATGTGGGAAATGCTACTAATAAGACCATATAGGTGCGTCACAATTAATTAATAAAACATGTTTTTTATTAATTAATTTAAAATGATTAAAAATGTGGAGAATGCTACTAATAAAGACCATTTAGCTGTGTCACACACTGTACCAATTAATTCAACATTTTTGTAGACAAATATATATGGTGCCTCTATGTCTTCATGAAACTTTTCATTTTAAATATACAGTATTGGAGGAGTTCCCATACTTCCATTTATGACATTTTCCGTTTTGCTGACTTTACTGTTATTCAAAAATCTACTAAAGACCATGTTGATGTGTCACGCTTGACTGGTGTGTGTGATTGCAGTGTAAAGCTCACCTTTAATTAATAAAGGCATGAAGGGAATGATAGGTGGCTCTAACTTGGCCACTGTAAGTCGATACGCTCGGTGATTTCTGGAGGGATCCTGCAATGAGAAAGACAACAGATCTCTGAAATCCTCTTTAAGTAGCTTTGATATTAGGTGACACGTTTAGGTCACTAGCAGATGAACTATAGTACCATGTTGAACTCACCATCAGGTTTTCAAACTCTCCATAAAACTTCTTGAACTTGCTGGGCAGTTTCTGTGAGAAAGCATATCAGAGAATCAGCGTTAAACATGACACGAGCAGTCTTATCTGTGTGTCTGTTAAGTGTGTGTGTGTGTGTGTGTGTGTGTGAGTGTGTGTGTGTGT